CTACAGACAGCACCGGTGGTGGATGGCAGCCTCACACTATGACCGCTCGTGAGATTTATATACTATATGTGTGCTGGCCAGGGTTGATAATACAGAGCAACACAGGTGAGGATCTGTCACTGTCAACAGCTTTCAATGGCTCTTCTAGATAACAGGCCTTCCTGGGAGGGTAACGGCTACACGGGGCTCTATCTCTTATCCTTGAGTGGCTTTGATTAAGCATCATTTGGTATTAAATACTATCCTTCTATAGTTTGACATTTTCCTCCATTTTGTCCAGCCCTTCAAAAAGCTACAACACACAACATGTTGTTGTGTTGGAGTTGGCTTTCATGTATTTTGTATTAAATACAACCATTACAATCACATCCCACACTTGCACAAAATGTTAACTTATAAAAAATTGTAATGTTAGCAGAGTTTCCATAATCTGTCTTTTGTAAAATGCAGCTAATTAAACTTGATTAAAAAGTTTTATTGAGGACCACAGAGACAGAATAATGAGAGCTACTGTAAGTCACCATAATACTCAAAGTGCCTGACCACTGGCAGCTAGTGCTGCCATTAGACCTGTGTGGGCTGGCAGTTTGGGTGCCAAATTGACATAGCAGATACACTGGAACATATTAACAAATTTATCTCCAATTAGCACAATCGAAGTTTATGTACGAGGGGGAAAGCAATAATTTCCCCTAACAATTAATAAATGAAGCTGAGGCAGGAGAAGTCAAACTGATATCAGGACAAGAGAAGAGAGTAGCACTTCATGGTTTATGTGTAAAATAGCTGGTCCATTTTTTGTGAATGCATACACAAGTGCGTTATGGTTTAATTGGATGTGATGAGGCACTGCTACAGCACATGGAACAGACAGGCAGGCGGGCCCATATAGCAAGCTGTCTCCCCTACAGAATGTAGAGCAAGAAGCACACAGCAGACTACACTGCAAAAGCAAAGATATGATCAAAATCTAGGCCAATTATTGTCTACTTCTGTATTTGAGATGGTTTTAAGTCATGGACTTGAGTTACTCCAATTTTCCTTTATGCAAATGTAAAATTTTAATCACAATTAAAATAATAATACTAACTCATCAGTTTTTTCCAATGGTGCATGTCTTTCCTGTTTAGGCCCGTGCGCTCTAAGATGATAATATTCTTGTTAATAAAGCATGAATGGATACCCAGTGGTTTGAAAGGAATGACATTAATGTAACGTTACCCACAGGCCAGTGCTCTCAGTATTCTGTAACTATATAACCCCAGTTGAGCATTTAGAGAAGTTTTTGAAAGAGCACCTGAGAAGGCTGAGACCCCCTCAGACCCTTCAAAATTATTATAGTAATGATGATTAGCAATGACTTTACCCTCCAGGAGATAAGTGGGTCTGTGATCGACTGAGCCAGTGTCCCTGAAAGATTTTATTATGCAGGCATAGTGATTATGTGTGCACAGCAAGGCAGCAATATCAGTTGCATACGTCTTTTGCAACAAGCTCTGTTTTATTCAGTATTATCTTGCTATTGCACTGATCAGTTTACAGACAATCTGTCTTTTTGTTAATTCATTTGCCTATCATTCGGTTTCTATCAAATGTATGCTAAACAAAACAGAACATTTGTTTAGACCAGAATCTTTCTAGTTGTATAGGTTTTATTAGTTCAGGGGTGTACGTGAACATCTAGTCAAATGATTTATTTAAATGTTTCATCGGGCTAACACTTCAGATTGTATTAAATCACATCTGACCGTTAGTTGGTGGGCTGCACAAGCTAGCAAAGTGATATTGATTCCAAAAGAGCAACGTCATGCTCTAATTGATTCATTTCTACCTTGTTCAGAACCTTCTTGTAATTAAACACGGCTGATGTATCACTTCACTTGGAAAACAAATCACATTACAAAGGCTAAAAATGCTCCAGCTGCAGATTCAGCGTTACTGTAAGGACTGATACCAAAAGCAACAGGCACTTACAACATGTGACTTTATACTTAACTATTTATGTGTTAAGTGCTTTGGTTAACAACTCTCATTGTTAGACAGGCCTATAAAGGATCTCAGATCTTTCAGCTGACCTTTGTCATGAATTTCAACATGACAGCCTGATCTACATTTTTGGGTGCACCATCTTCACCAACAGGTTAGAGCCCGACACTGCTGCCACCAGTCTTAGCTATAGTCCATTTATACTAAGGCCAGCCAAATACTACTAAAAATATATGTGTTCCAGTAATGCAAAGCTGTTAGGATATGAAAGCATTCACTGGGGATGCTGCCATTCCCACTGGAGTAGAGATGGAACAGCTGCACAATGATTAAAATGCTGACTATTCAAGGGAAAAGACACTGAATGCACCATCTCTTTTTACAGTGGCCAGACACAATGTCTTTCTAAGTGCAGTGTTCTGAGACAGTAACGTCCTACCACAGGAATGCTTCATGGGAAGGTCGTCACGTTGAAGAACACTGGAAACACTGACATCTCTCACACGTTTGAGCATGCCTCATTCACATCTCCTCTACATCGCATTGAAACTATATAATCTAGTAACCTTTTTTTTTTTTTAATCTAGGAATACACTAGATAACATCTCAATCAAGGGAGTTAGCCTGGACTATTCTTTTTTCTTCCACATTTTTATGTCACTTTAAAGGTGCATTTGCAACATAACCTGACAGCACAACAATTTTCTTAATATAGTTTGCCTAAAAGGTATCGCCACTAACATGCATAAAACCTAACTGACATGTGTACTTTTATAACAGTCACAAGTGAACCTTAGACTCCCAAAGAACCTTTAGTTAACTCACAGCATTAACCTGTAACCCGTATCATGTCGTTGCACCAAAAACAATAGTTTTTTACATGATTGCTTCAACGTAAATGGTTATTGATTACTGAGCTTTTCAAGCAGACTCTAATTACCATGAGGGCATAATGTCAGACACCCAAAAGGCACATTCATATTTACAGCACAAAATAAATAAATTGACAAATATACATAAGCTACATTCACATTACAGGACTTAATTCTCAATTGTGATTTTGTGTGTGTGTTGCTGCATGTAAAAATGTTCTTATCAATCCTGTTCCTTTCTGCCAGTCTCTTGATTTCTTGCTGGCAATTTATACCACCACATTGGAGCTGTGATATAATTATAGTCTGATGTTCTGCAACGGTTCAAGAACCATGCTGAGTCTGAGAGAAAACCATTTCACTGGATCAATATTTATGATTGTATTATTTGTCAGCATCTGCAGACCCTTACACAAACTGCGATGATGGTCTCACTTCAAAAAGAGACAGAGGGAATGAGTTAGGGAATAGGCAGTAATGTGGGGTCTTTTCTGCTGCTAAGTTGAAAACTAGGTGCACATTTTCTGTGGGAGGTTGTCATTTCATAATACAAGCAGTAGGCCGAACAGTAATGCTGCTAATATGAAAGAAAAACTTGACATTTTAATTTGCTTGAGTGTAGCAGGTCTTTTTAAAAAGCTCCATATAAGACTGTAAGTCATAGATACATCACAGATACATCAACATTCAAAATTCAAGGCTTTTTATTGTTTCCCTTAAGAAAAAGGCAACAATAAGTCTGAATTTGAAAATAAAGATTTAAATAGATTTAAAAACAGCTTGAGTTATTTCTTGACAATCAAACTAATGTACTTAGCGTATAGGCAGTTTCTACCTTAATAGGCTAAGTGTCTTAACCTCATTCACCCAATCACACACAGAGATGGCAGCAGAGTTGCCATGCAAGGCACTGGCCTGGCCACCGGGAGTGATTTGGGGTTTGAAGTGTTTCCCAATGACACTTCGACATGCAGACCACAGGAGCCGGGGATCAAACTTCTAAACTTTTAACTAAAATCCCTGAAACTGAAGCATGTGTGTATCTGCTGTTGTTTCAGTGAAATGTATAGACCAACAGTTTAAAAAATATGCTCAGTGTTAATCAGTGCCACCACAGAGTAGCTGTAAAGCACATGTGTCTAACCTATCAATGATGTCACTTTTTGATTGTCTTACAAGGCTGAAAATTTCTTTTGGGACACGAAGTTTCTATTTTTGTTTTGTACCAACATCATATCAATCTTTTTTCTACATTCTGACTATTCCTTTTGTTGTTATAAAAAAAAGAATCTGCTGACACTATTTTCTTAGTGACCTAAATGAGACATGCTTTGGTTCAGTGCAGAGGTATTCCTAAATCATAAAAAGGTTCTGTCAGCATGTTTGCTGCAAGTTAATCCCCAGTGCAGTAATGTCAGTATGTAACGTCAGTGGTTTTGAAACAAACTCTTATATTTACATTCCGAAAACCTCTAGAACTAAGCTGCTACACTAGGATTAGACATTTTATTCTTATATGGACATTGTCTGAAACAAACAGAGTATTCATTCAAACTAAAACACAAAACATTTCTAAACCGCAAAAGTAAATTTTAGTTAATTAATGATTTTCATTGAAAATCCAAAGCTGCAGCAGTACTGAAAGATTTAAGAGAGAGATTGTACAGTAATAGTGTGATTGCTATTTCATTTGATAGGAGACATTATGTTGCATTGTTTAGTCATACACTGACATTTGAGAAGTAATATGTTTCTGCAGATGCTGCACAGCTCATACAAGACAAAGATGATGGAGTTCCTCTATGGTTATCACCCTAACTCCCCCCTCACCCAACACACACACACACACCACAGGTTGCCACATCTGATTGCACAGAGAGAAATGCTTCACAGCGTGCCTGTGGTGCTGCTCCCCATAGTGGAACAATGCACTTATTTTCTTTCAGTTTCTAGGCCAGAGGACTCAAGAAGAAGAAGGATAAGATACAACAATGTAAAGCATATAGCCTGCTACATAAGTGCCTAATGTATTGTAATATTCCAGGATGCGCTTAAATTCATGCTGTGCACTGTGAAGATTTCAAAAATAATAAGTAAATACAATAATGACATGAATTAAAGTCCATCTCAAGATAATCTTACCTGCTGAGGCTCTCTTGGTGTCGTCTGCTTGACTCGCTTGCTGGATGCCGTGGTGGTGGTGATCTCCATGATAGATGTGGACGTCTCAGAGCGATTGGCTGTTGTGCTCGACTGCGGTGTTATAGAGGAGGGCGACTCCCCCACAAGCCGCACGCTGCCCTGGATCCTAATGTTGGGATCCCCCTCTGCGGCCATGTTGAACACCTTCAAGCCATTATAGTAGAGGCCTGAAAGCTGGCCCTGAAAGGATCGGCTCCGGTCTCGTTCCCAGCCCCCAATCTGTATAGTGGTTTGGCTGTTGAAGATTGTAAGCTGTCGCCCTGTGGGAAAACAATGTTGCATATATACAAGAATGTTGAACTGTGGACTCAGCCACTTTTACTGAACAGGAAAAAAAAAAAGACAAATTATTTGCTCAGTGGCTAATGGGCTCAATAAATTACAGGCTGTTCAAGTAAACCCTGGTAATTTATTGCAGTTACAATGATGAGATGCCTACAAATAAATAAAAAATAAAAACAAATAAATAAATAACACAAGATTTAAAAAATCAGTGCAGCTTTGCTAAAAGTTTAGTCTAATCTAAAATAACAAGAAAATAAGATTAATCAGAAGTAGCAATTTTATGGGAATGGCACAGATTTAACCGCAGCTGAAAAAAAAAAAAAGAATCGTGAAAGAAATATAAACGGCAGGGAATTGCCTGAGAATAAGGATAATTAGAGTATTTGAGATCTTAGTATAACAAAGCTAAAACCATATATTTCGTTGTGCTTTTCTCATGTTATTTTGAATTCTTTCTCCAAATTTTATTTAATTTACAAACTTGGAACAATGCAGAGTATGAAAAAAACTTCTAAAATGCCTGCAGGCTGTGAGAACTGGACTTTTCTTATGTGCAATCTCACAAGGAGCAGGGCACTCTTTCTGAAATTTGAAACTGTCCATCCTTTTAGCAAAAGCAACCAAGGAAAATTTAACTTGGAACAGACACAAAGGGGAAAAAAAAAACACTTTTATAATGCAAAACCAAAAGAAAAAAGACACAAATGATAGGGCTCATTTCACATTTAAAGTAAAAAAAAAAAATGAATTAGTTATTGAACTGTAAAAAACAAAGCATGCACTCATTTTTTTTTTTAAATTACAGTTCCTTGATCTAATGCCCTATACATATTTACAATGTCTGTTAAAGGGACTCAAAATTCTGATGCCAATTCATATTGCACTCTATTTATCACTGCTGTCAGTTTAATCAGAATAGATCAAATGATACTATTCTGTACTGTATATCTACTGTACATAAGTGTTTCAAATAACACTTAGCAGTTAATGAATGACTAAACCACTGTAGAACTTTTAAATTTGTCATTTAGATGTTTACAGCAAAATGCTACAGTAACTTAGAGACATTTTAACAATGCTGGAATTACTTCTGTAAGAAGGATTTAAATTCATATTTACAGTCCCTTTAACCTTAAGTTGACAATAAACACGTATTAAAACAGCTGACATCTAAAAAAAAAAAAAGCATTATTATGAAAAGTAAGAAAAACTACAAACTAAATTTAACTATTCAAATCATTTTGTTTTTAAAGTTTTACTGAACATTTATTTTTAGGTTTATTATTTACAAAATATTGCTACAACTTGGTTATGATCAAATTATTTTATTTGAAATTTTAATCAGTGATTTTACCTTTGTCGAGTAGCCATTCGTCAACTACTCGACCAAGTCGGTATGGGATTCGCTGTCTAGCAATCGCCAGGCGTTCGTTATCATTGCTGCCTTTAAAGTTTAAAGAGACATTTCATTGGTTACAATCTGTAAGGTCAAAGGTTAAATGTTCATACTTAATGCTGGAGCTATACAACTGCACAAGGCTTTTCTATTTAAAATGTTTTGTATATTTAAAACAAATTTACTAAAACATTAATTGAACAAACTTCACTCATTTAATTTTATTTTATATCCAACAAATTAGACCTATGTTAATTGAAAATAAGTGAACTAGCACGCAAATGTTTCATCTAGGTTAAAAAAGCGATGTTATAAACCAACCCAAATCACAAATTTATACATTTCCATTACAAAATCATTACCAAAATATTTCCATTCCATTTGTCTTTACCCTCTATGGCTTTTTAAATGGCTTTTATACTAGTTATATACATTTTCCAAAAGAACATCATTTAAATTTATTGTTGAAACAACCTTTTATGGGTTAAAGTATAAAACAATTTAACGTTAACATATTACAAATACCCACCCCATTTATAAATAGTCTAATTGACAAGAAATAATAAGCACAGTATACATTCAGAGCATCTAGTCAGAAGACAATGTCAGAGTAGGTACATACACTGTAGAATACTCAATAAAATGGCTTTGACAAAAAGCTACAAGTCTCAAAAAAGGAAAAGTCATGGGTTTGACTGTTTGCAGGTTAACAGCATGAGAGTCAATGCAAAAGTGGTTTTCCAACAATCTTCAGAGAGCGAGCCAAATAAATGTCAGGATAGAGAAAAAAAAAACAGCTACAGAAAAACTCTACTCCAAGATTGGAGGGGCTCTTTGGCATTAATGACGGCAAACTCTGCATCACCCTTTTGTCAAGGCCAATAACCTCCCCAGAACGGAAGACTTTCAGCAAAGTGGCACTGTCTCAGAGTGCTTTTCCCCTGGTATTGTCTGGTGAGATTGAATTCAGTCAGCGCCATTCTTCCGGTAGATTGACAATGTTTGTCCCATCAACTATATTAATTCAGTTGAGACTGATAAAAGATCTGGTAGCTAACAATGATTTGGTGGAGAATAGCTTCCGAGAGGAAAAGATTGCAGAGACATGAAGGAAAAGAGGTAACCTTGTAATAAATGCACAGCTGGTTTGATGAAAGGTTTTAGAGGGAAGACGACATATAAGATATTTTTTAATCACATCAACTTGAATTACTGTTAGAGGATCTGCACAGAAAAAGGCTTAAAACTTGTCAATACAGCTCATGGAATTTGGTGGCAGTTGATTGTGACAGGTTGGAGCACAAAAGCTTGTGAAGGAGATTTAGTGGAACTTTTCGTCCCCAACATTGATGCAGAAAGACACAATCTGCATTACAACAGAGCCACACAAGGATATGATATTTGATGTGGATGTCCAATATTATTTACCCATGAAATGTCCAGTCATCTGAAGTCATACTGTACCTGATCTGTAATGTGCCTGTATATTTTTTTTTTTTTTTTTTTTTAATAAATTCAATGCCCCCCCAATTAAGTTGCTTTATTTAGACTGACTTAATCTAAACTGAGCCTTTATACCTGAACATGGATGCCATTTTGAACAGAAAATGGTCACAGGTTTTCAAATGACAAGTAAAACCCACTTGTATTGTTAAGTGTACTCTAATTTATGATGGCTGATCGTTGGACTGATATTCAAGGACATAGTTGGTGACATTCTGTGTTCGTGAAATTGTTCCCAAAAGCTCGGAGGAGTAGTTTTTTTTTTAATCAAACATCACTCAAACAGGAACAAAAAGTATATTTGTTAAGGACTGTTTTTGGCTGCAGTATAATACTTGTTTGCTGCTCTAGAGAACATTTAAGGCAGCAGGGTGTGTATGTGTGATTGATTCAGTGTAAAGTGCACTACAGTATCCAGGTTTATCATTAGGAAAGAATGTTCATTGGTGCTACAGTGTGCATCATTTCTGTGTTTTTAAGGGTTTTTGGACAACAATTCATGTTGTATGACAGAGGAATAAGCTAGAACAGGATTTGGTTACACAAATAGGACCAATTAATTGTTGGTTTTAGCTTTTTTTTTATCTAATTTGATGACAATAAAAATATCACTAAATTCATTCCTTAAAAACTAAAGTTGCACAATATTCAGCAATATGTTTAATTCATGCTACAGTTAGGAAATCACTCATCTTCATGCGGGTATGTATGTAAAACAGACCAGCCTGTAGTTGCTTTCAGCTTACGTAATGTCTGTGTACAGCCTAGTGTTAAACACATACTGTATTTCCTGTAAGTAAAGCTCCTGGAGCTCTGTACCACCTAATTCTCATGATGTGCGCATGATGGAAGTATTATACGCAAACAAAGAAAAGGAGTCATGCAAACAAATACACACACACACACTCATCTGCACTTCTTCTTATTTTGAATGTGTTAAAATAATGATTAATCCACTAATTGTTGCTGTCACGCATTCATGGAATTTGTTAATTCCTGTCACCTCCATTTGTCAGTCATGGGGTGTTAGCTGTGTCACTTCTCTGTTCCCTGCCACTGACACCTCATCTGAGGAACGGACAGCATCAGACCCAAAAACGGTTAGCATGCAGCTGCTGGGAGGGCGGTGAGGATACATGAGTTTAAAATGAAAAGCAACAACCATTCAATTAACTGATATATTCACTATTAATGCATGTATATTCTCTTATATACGAGCTTTCCTTGACAGCCCTATTGCATTAACATGTTTTGGAAGTCTTGTAGGTTTTGTATTTCTTAACTTGCTGTCAATTTGTGAAAGAAGTGGGAAGGAGACTACTAGAAAGACAGAGAAGTGTGCAGCAGGCAGTAGCTGACACACACAGGACACAGCCTCATGCACAGCACGTCACTGTGCCAAAGCCCTCTGCCTTTATGCAAAAACATGCTCCATTCTCAAAGAGAGTAATGTCGTATCTGTTTGGCTCTGCACCCTGTGGCATGCAGTCTGTCCTTATACTGAGGTTAATTAAGTGTGGATATAATCAAGGTCTGATCGTGTATTGATCCCCACTGTGGGAAACTGGAGTGTTAAACAATGCTATCCCCTGGGCTTCAATGCAGCAGCAGAGCCCATTCATCCTGCCTGCAAGCGGAGCCTGTTACTGCTGCTGAGTGTTGCTGATTTGGTTTGGTATGGGACAGCCTGGCTTATCTCGGCCAGACAGCAGCGATTCAGCTGAGCCATCGCGGGCGACCCACTTTGCCCTCACTCACTTGTTTTCCTTTTTTGTTAATAAAGTGGTCAGATAAGGTGGGGGTTTATCTCATTACAAACCCTAGGACAATCATCACATTAAATGAGCAAATATGCAAATGCTTCCACTGTTCACAGAGCCAAAAGAGGAATCTACACAAATCTCACTATTATTTTTACTCTTCTTATCCCTTGGTCAGGGGAGTTATTGCAGCATTTTTAAGCATGCCCAGTGATGACTACTTGCACAATAGGCTAAACAGGCTCATGGATTGAACACAGGAGAAACCAGAGCAGGTAGAATGGTGCTTTTATGAATAAAGCTAACCCTCCTCCCTTTGTATTCAATAAAGCCGAGTGCACTCCCTAAGGTGGAATAACAGGACAGAGCGTGAGACTGATAACAGTGAAAGAATAAGGCCAGAGACTTCTCCATTATCTTTGTGTGTGGCGCGTGTTCATCGGGTGCTCTGATAGGATACTGCACTGTACCCTGCGGGCCTGGCAGCACCATTGTGAAGGTATTACTTCCATGGCCAAAAGTCAGGAGAAGGGGCCACCTTTTTGTTGCTGCCCAGCCTTTAGTGTGCATGACAAAATGAAATCAGGGCAAGAGTAAAGGCACAAGAACTGATTTACAACAGAAAACTACTTATATGTCTCTGTGTGCATTTAGCATTTTATATTCTAATAATTGTACTAAGACTTTTAATGGCCCATAAGTATGCAGTATGAGACTTTTTAATGAGATTACTAGGGCAGCAATATAGACCCTGGTGAAGCAATTATTTCCTTGCCTTGAGAACAACTGCTCCCTGCCATATAATCTCTCTGTCCTTCTCACTCTCCAGCCATCATTTTTATCTTTGCTGTCTCTTCTTATTATAATCACTGCTGATCTGTGAGTGGCCTAAGAGTGGCTGAGGGCTACTATTATGAGTGTGTTAGAGGCATACATGGATACTAATCAAACTACAGGCGAGCTATGAGAATAATGGCTTTGTGTGCTGGGGTGAGGGGAGCAACTGCGCAGTAATTGTGATTAAATGTAATTAGTTTGCAACAAGCTTAATAAGGTAGCTGGACTTGGCATTGTCACTGACACATGATGGGCGGGGATGAGGCTGGTTACTGTTTCCCTGCAGCATCTACAAATGGGCACTTATGATCAGCAGAATTAATCTTGTATTATTATGGCTTTTCTAAAGTTGACACTACATCCGCTGAAACCATTCAAAAAGTGCTGATTTTGTTTCCACTTACAAAACAACAAAACAAAACAACCAATATTAAATATACTGTGCTGTGTTTGCCATTGCTAAGTATTTAATAGTCCAATTAATTATTAACTTTGATCTGGAGTGATGGTGCTTTATACCAGGTGGTAAATTTCATACTGACCTGAAGCTAATACATTTCACTCTGCAGTACTAAAACCTTAAGTGATACTTAAATATCCCATCATCTTCAGTGCTGTACTTGCAATATGTGTATTAAAATAATGAAACAAAGTTGTTTTCACCAACTTCATCCAGTTTATGACCAGCTATTTCTGTAATAGGTGTTTTGGGGGCAGAGTGTGTTTATTGTTCGAAGACTGAGATGGAGGTATCCAGGCGTTTAACCCTGCTGTGCATTCTGCCATGTCCGCGACATGTCAAAAACCATTATCTTCCCCTTTCCACCTGAGGCAAGCAGCCAGGATTGAGTCCAAGACATAAAACCGTCTTTCATTTGGGTGAATAACTGGCCATAGCTAAAAAGGTCACTAAACATTATGCAAAAGTAGAGAGACCGGCTTCAACTGGTGTTCTGCTTGTCCTGTCACTTATTCATCTTATACATGCTCACAATCTAACAAATGTCCTTGACGTCCGGCTGCAGCGTTTACTCTCATGGAGTAAATGCTACACTTGTTCCTTCAACAATTTTGGTGTTTGTGTTTTGAACAGTCAGATTCTTCCTCCTTTAATCCCCTATAGCTTTTGTCAAAGCCTTCTGGCAAAAAAGTTACAATTTCAACAACACAAGCAGTGGCATTTAAATTCTTTTTGAGAGCAATAGTACTACAAACATCTTGACATTCTACAGAAACGTATCAGTGTTGCTGAGTTGTTTTCCATTTCCAACAGTAAATTGCTTCATATTTCCCCAACAAATATGACACTGACGTCGCATTTTCTCCCAAATACGGTAAATCTTCACTTTTCATCTGGAGTTATCAGATACTACTACACTATACCGGTGCCAATACAAATATTTCAGTCCTGTAATGTAGAAAGTATTACATCTATCACACTTTTCACTTACTAAGTACTCATTACACTTTGCAGTAATTAGTGAATTAATCTTCTACTGTCATGTAAACTGTGTTTATGAAAAGTGCTACACAAATGAAGTAATTGGTATTAATGTTAATAACAAAACACTTAGCACACCTTCAAGTGAGTCTAGGAGTAATTGTAGCGTATGGTGAAATAATTAATATGAAAGTAAGTTGTCATGGTTAACCAGATGATGTGATGTAGCTGATCATTTGGTGTTTAACTCTGAGTAAGCAACAGATTCATTCAGGTTTTCATTTAGCTTGACTGTGCTATTACAGGTTTGTCAACCTCATCGCCTAAATGCAATCACTCTACTGTTTTGACAGAGAAATAAAAATTGAACTGGCGCACGATTACCTACCACAATAAAAATGGTAATTTGTAAGTAGTCTATTGATTTGAACATATGCTGTAGGTGCATTATTTATAGATAAGGGGAATATGATGCAGACAGAGTGGGAGGTTGCCCTCTCCTCCGGTTTATATTTTAGACTATGGGAGCTCTAAGGTGCAACCTATTTACATATGTCTAAGATGTTTATGTAAAGTGATAAGTAGAGAGATAAAAAAAAAATACTCAACAACACTGATATTATTCTTAACAGCTGCTTGAAACAGAAACATAAAAAGCAATTAAAGCACATGCCAAGTCAACATAAAACCATCCTAACAGGTGAGGCTTTAATAGTCAGCTTGATAATCTTTTGGTCATTGTATCGCCTTAAAGCAGCATCAGATGTAATTAAATGTAGAGTAGGTGACTCACCTGTGGGGTAGCGCTCAATGACTGGCAGGTCATCCACCTGCAGAGTGGCATTACCCCCACTCCGCGTAAACTTCACTATATGGTACTTTCCGTCATTTACAAACTTTGACGTTTCCTCAATGTTAATGTCGTCTGTTCCGACATTAAATACAACAGCAACGTTTCCTTTTTCCTGAAAAGTAAAAAACACAGAAAAGAAAAGATTTTAGTGGAAATAAACATTACTGTTTTGAAATGTCTAGTTCTATCAAGGGGATATAGAAAAATTGTTAAGTGGGAAATTGGTTCAGAAAATGTGAAGGGTTATTTTTTTATTTATTTAATGAATGCTGAAGGGAATGTAGTTAGCTACTGTATCGCAGGTACCACCTTCACTTTATCCTGCATCATAACAGAAAGCAAAACTTACATAGTAAAGTAAAATGTGTCCCATGATCAAGTGAGAGTGAGAACTATTGCTACAAAAACAAAAAGAATGGCTGGAATATTCAGTGACCCATCAGCAACTACGGTGTAAATATTTTTCTATGAAAATATTAAGGGTTAAATTGTAAATTGTGTTTGTGTATTTAGTTTAAAATGGCTAATGTAATTTTACAAAGCCATAGTGTTATATTACTTTGTAATATTGTGAAGACTTTTTTGTGTAGAATTTCTGAACCAGTGGTGAGACCCAAAAATTACTGAGACTTGAAAAATGTAAATATAATATTCAGTCTCCCTCACCAAGAATATTTTTTCATACAGTCCCTAAATACATTCATGCCCATTCATAATACCTTGATGTATTTATTATTTTATAAAGGTTACATGGTGTATTCATGTAAAGATTAAGAACTGTGTTGTATTTAAACTGGAAACAAAAACATACATATTTTGCTTGTGTTGATGATTAAATATGTATTTCAATTTACTGTGATTCCTCGAAGACAAATCATTAATAAAGGGTTGTGGTGACTTTTTAACCGAATAACCATAACTGAATTACAAAAACTACATAAACTGAGTCTGTAAATGGCATTACTCTGCATTAGCCACACTTTTTATAGTGGACTTCCCAAACAATGAAAAGAAATATATGGTCATTTTTTGGCCTGGAGTCAATTTTTTAAAATAAAATCCTTCTTGCAGCAGAAGGGTAGGTTCAAAGGAGGACCAGGGTTGGCCCTGACCTCCACCCGATTCTGAACTCACTATAACAGGTATTTGTTTTGTAATTAAGTAACAGACTGTTAGCAATTTTACTTCTATTTAAATAAAATAACACTTTATTTAACTCTTAACAGTCACCACCGAATCATGTTTAAACAAGAAAACAAGGATTTTTTCTCTATGTGGTGGTGCTGTAGTCAGATGGTGTTTACATCTGTCACCTACAGAAACATGCAATATATAGCAGCATGTTTCTCTTGAGGAATGTTTCTTGTCACAACATTTCTGTACATCATATACAACATATAATATTATTCCCAGTGTGTTAATGTGCTAGATTGGCTTTAAGACATATTACATGCAGATTACTGTAGGGATTATTGCCTAACCTTCAGTTGTCAGTTTACTAGGAACTCCTACTGTGATTAAAACTAATGCAGTCTAACACCACAGTCCTGCAATAAATCCCGCCTTCAGTGTTTGTTGAAACCGATGTAGAAATGTGCATAGCCGTTGTGAAGAATGCAATTTGTGGTGCGGTTAAACTATACTGCATTGTAAAAAAAGAGGCGTGTCAGTAATTCAGCTTACCCTCACTGATTAGAATAGAAGGAACAAAATATTAGAAACATCTGTCAACATAATGGCACAATACAGTCCAACTGCACCACAAACTTCAGCCTCCAAAATGATGAGACAGATGAATCAACACCTCTTTAACACAGTTTCAAAAAAATGAACGTTAACACCTTGATGAACATGACTGTTGCATTAAACTGTATTAGTTTTAGCTCTGTGTTTCTAATGAAGTGATAACTGAGTGCATGTTGTTCTTGGATGTGGTATTTCTGTGCTTTTCCTAAAAGCCTCATCATCACTTCAAAAACTCTAAAGTAGCTTCAAAACTTGCTAAAAAGAAATTATTGAATGTGAGCAGTATGTGTGAGACTGAATCATTAAATTGCAGTGAATACTGCCATCATTACATAAATAACATAACCAGGGAAACATAAACAGAAGGTCTCAAAAGAAGCTTGAACCCAGCTTCAAGCTCTTTAGATTGAACATGCAATGGGTATGTGCTATAAAAAGCCGCTTTTTACAGTACATGATCGAAGTCCCTGAATCCCACTGCTTAATCCAGCTAAAATGAGTGTTTATGTTGGTGCAGCCTCTCTCATTCTGCTTATGAGCTGCAGTGAAAGGAGCATCTGGTTGGACGCTCTCTGCATGTCATTATCCAGTCAGCACAGCCAATAGTACACTGCATCTCTCTCTCTCTCTCTGTCTCTCTTTCTGTCTCCCATATGCACAACCACCCCCCCCCCAACCATAACCACACATACAGAGGCACACACGGAGCCCAGTTCCCTTAAACTGCAAAATGAGTCGAGCACGTCTCCTGAGCCAGAAGCTACAGAGCAATTAAAACCATTTGTAATGTGTCACACTACGTTACCAAAACTAGAACAATGTATACTTTGTAATGTAATATCAACAAATTATTGCATAATCTGATGCATTAAAGCTACACTACCAATTCAGTTTACTCATTGCTTGTAGGCAGAAGCACCTATCTACATAACTGAGAAGCAGATGGTGACTACAGCTCATGTCAGGTTTGCAGAACTGAACGGGTCAGAGGAAGATCTGTAGATGCTGCTGTTGTGTTACAGTGGTTGTACAATGTGTCATTTTGAAAGATTTGCCCTTCCTGAAACCCTTAAGCAAGAGGCACAGCGACAGCAGCTCCTCGACAGGGCTAAATTCAGATACCTTACACCTAGGCAATATTTAAAGCACTTGAATAAATGGTAAAGTTTAATATGAGAATTTGCGATTCCAAAAGGGAGCTTTCTTTCAAGGACTACAGCACACTGAACTCATAAATTGAGAACTTTTTAATACTACTGCTCTTGAAAAAAAAAAGGTTGAGTAGACGGACCGACCCAATTAAAATCCTGCTTTTAATAGCCTCCTTCAATTGACTTTTAATGTTCCCAATGGTCTTGTTAATAAATTTACTGCATTTCATGACAAACTGCCAACTCAAATTTCCATTGCATAAAAAAAGCCTACTTTATGGTCTAGTGAAGAGATGATGAGGTAGATGAAAGGATGTAACAGACAAGAGGACAAAACCCACACCATTCGATTCAGAGAGTCAGACATCAGATGAAAGATAAGAGCTAAATCTTATGGCTGAGAAAACTCAAGGTAAAATAACTGCTCAGATCCTGTGTTTCTGCCTTGTTTAACTCTTATTTCCCTCTGCTTTCTAAGATAGGGTTTGCATTTGCTTTAAACGCCAATGTAATTGTTTTTTCTTAATGATAACTCAATACATTTCAGCATTTCCTGAAATGTGACACACTTAAGAGTTTCTCAGTTAGTTCACCACCAAGAGCAGCCTAATCCTGTCGCTCTAATGGGGTACAGGCTTATGTCAGCCACTGATTGATAGCTGCTTACATAAACCCAACCATTTACACCCTGTACAATTTTAGGGCTGCTCACTTGATAAGTGCCATTCCCCGCTGGGAACGTATACTGTACGGTGCACACATACCACACGAGAGGAACTCTGTCCTGCTTGCCACTCTGCACGCTGCTTTGATTAATTGCTCATCAAGCTGCAATAGAGTTTAATTAACTCATGAAGTTGATCCACCATTCTCCTCTAACCTTTCCCTTTTTTATGCTTCTCATCCTTGCAGCTGGAGGGTGGAGTAGCTGCAGGAATACTCAGGGTGTCAGTTTCTCGTTAAAACTCCCCATCTGCACTCATTATACAGCCATAGAGATATTTGTTTTAGTAGCTATAAAGCTGCAAAACAGCCTCTGCAGACCAAGTGTTTTGCTGAAATTATTAGTAGCACTGCAAAGCATCTTTTTTTCTTCCCATCATGTCAACAAAACCATGTCTGAACAAATATGTGTTAAATGCTTCAACACCAGCTTAGGTTATAGGTCAAACTTGCAGTAAAAATCTAGATAACAGTATTACCATTAATAATAAGTCACTTGATTAAATCACACTTTTGTATTTACATCTCAGTTGAAAGTACACAGTATGTTGCTGATAATCAGCTTGAGGGCCAAGCAAACCAGAAACATCCCGAGTTGAAATGATCCACACGTTTGTAATGTTTACTGACACAAGCTTATTTCCCCAGCCCATGTAAAAGACAACATAAAAAAAGAAAGGAAGTGAAAAGTGATATTTGCAATGGTGTCAGCCCTGCTCTCCAGCCTCTGCAAAAATGAACACCATGGTGTAGGCTGTCCTAATGTTTTGCTTGTTTATGAGTCATTCATGTTGACAACCATTGTGCACCCGTCACATTTCATATCTCATCAGTTCAACTCCATGGGACTGCAGCACACCTCCCTCCAGTGCATATATTTGTGAGTCTCTTAGCAGGTGGGACAGCACCTCCATCATCCCTTTAGTGTGTGTTATGTGTGCACGTTGAGGGGATATTATACTGTACTCTCACTGCAGAAGCTAAAGGTCTTAATGGAGCAAGGGCAAAGCAGACTGTACAGTTCACCTTATCTTTTAATTACCACTGGCAGTTTTCTGCTTCTCCCCTTTTTCAAGCAAAGCTTGCTTAATGAAATTACAGACATAATGAAATAATGAGGAGAAAGAACATTTACTTTTTTTTTCTTTTACATCTTATGGTCCAATATACACTGTACATTATGCTGCAATTCATATACACATCTGCAATTACAGGCACACAAATACAGACATGCAAATGTGTGCTGTAAATGTATCACTTACACATTTAGAGTGCAGTAAATTTATAACAGACCTGGGGGCAATATAATAGCAGAGCTGTGGTTTTGCAGAAAATGAATTTTCAGCCTCATAGAAGCACCATATGATACATTAACTCCCTAATATCCAAAACAATTTAATGACGTTATGGACTGTGACAAACCTACAGTATATTGTCTCTGTGGGTTTGAAACCAGTGAGGCCTATATATTCATTTCATACTTTTTAGTCTA